CTTCTGATTTTATTAGATCATAAAATAAAGAATCCAAAAAAATTATAGAGTATCTTTGATGCAAAAGGCTCAGACATGTGTAACCTAAGGAATTACTGAGTAAACTATGAGAAATTTGCAGAAATGTTTGAAAACACCTGAAAGAAGTCACGGAAGATGTTAGCTGATACAATCCAGCTTATTTTCGAAATATTCCAGCCACATTCTTCCAATTCCAATTCCATCAAAAACATAATCAGACGGGCTTTTGAAATTACGGTCCCCCTAATCTGTCTAAACAACAGGAATTTCGAGTTGGGTTGTTTCGAAATCCATCTATGTTTTGACACTTTACTATAGTCTCCACATCGGAACATTCAATGTCGTCTCTGGCTGGGTCAACAATAAAACCGAAGGTAAAATATTTACCTGGTAGGACAACTACAAAAGTTGGGCCGTTATATCTTTCTCGGCTGAACGTTCCTTTATAATAGTTTTTACACTTCCATCTGTGAGTACACATCTTATTAGAGAGATTTTCAACGGAAACGTGCTTTTGGCACATGTGTTGTTTCCAACAGCTGGCCCTAAATCCTACATCTAGTACAAAATAATTTTCATCACATTCGAAAGTAATCGGCCGAATCAAAATTTCCTTCAGGCGCATGAAGAAACACAGAAGGATCTTATATATTATAAAACATTCAAATTTTGATACCGTATTAAATGATTACTGTCATAAATTGTCTTGCAAATCATGCACGGAAGCCATTAACATTACCTGTTCAATTTATTATTTTAAATGCTTACTTATGGAAGGAGTTTAGTGCAGTCCTAGTTAAATCACGCAAATCGTAAATTCAAAGTTAACAACATTCTACTGAAAAGTCCATAATGACATTTCCGTAAGCTGATGGTGCCGTGTTTTGTTAAAAACACGGCCTTGTAATTGCAGGGTGGTACAGTATATGAGTTCTAACAAGAAAATATAAAACAAACCAATGCGAAATATAGTTCCATGTGGTGTTTAAGACATTTAATTTAAAAAGTCCGTTATGAAATTAAATACAAAGTGACTTTAAACGCCCTTTAACTTCAGGAAAAAAAATGATTTGTTGGCTGTATCTAAGAGCAAAACCAATATTTGATTTTTAATGCAATTTAAAGTAAAGCTGAGCCGGAAATATAGTTTAACAAATATTTGTACGCTCATAAACTTACAGATACTGCTTGCTTGCAGCAGTATCTACCCTACTTACTAAGCGGGATATAAATTTATTTTCAAAAAAAGTCCCCTTGAGCGGACGCCTGAAAGTGACACTGTTCACATTGCAGATTAGATAATACAGTTATTAAGTTAAATTTTGCATTAGCAACTCAGTTATTTGAGGTGAAAATTGGGTAAAAATGCGGGTATGGTCACATCACATTCAAATAAATTATGAATAATAAATGTACGTATAATAGTTGACTGTTGGAAATTATGAATAACGAAGAAATAACTAAACTGTAAATATGGAGCTCAAAGAAAGGTTATATTTCCATTATGCTCAAGTTGTTTATTTAGCAGATTCCACAGAATTAAGTGTGAGAACCAACTTTGGCTTTTTTTAAATAGCAGCTAAACAATAACATTTGCTTAACCAATTCAAAGTTATTAACGGCAACATGATGAAACTGCTGTGTGTATTCATTTGCAAGTTCAAACTTACTTCAACCATTCGAAAATGTTCTAATTAATGTACGTTTTTATCGCATCCTTTTCAGCTTTCCCAGCCAAATTGTTACTCAACTTCCCTTAGAATTAATTCATTAAAATGAGCTTAAAGGGTTGAATAAATAATTTAAATATCATAATAACTCATTTTATTATTTTTTTACAGCACATACATTCAATGAACTCGAAAGGCAAACTCTTGGTACCCAATGATAAACACGATAATCGGTAGGAAATACATGAATTTTTAATCAGATTATCTAGAATATATATTCGAGCATAACACAGTTTCAACATAATCAAAAATGTATGAGCATTATCTACTTATCACACGTCAAGTTGCTACTGAAATCCTTAAAATTCTGTACAGAAATCCGGGTTTACTTAGCATGCAAGTCGTTATACTGTGTATTCATATTTTAATATAAATTGGAAGCACCACTACAGGTTTTGTATAAGAATTCTAATTTCTCGGAGGTTTTTATATTTGATATTAATTATTATATTCTTGTACGCCTCAGGCAGATTAATAGTTAATATTGTACACAAAACAAACCCCTTAAATATACTAACATTGTGTTAATAATTCTACCAGTCCGTAATTTTGAGAGTGATTTAACGTTATTACGTGTAGATTTTGCGCAATAATTCCGTGACCAATTGCTTGAAATATTATAGAGAGTAGTATTTCTGATAAATAATAAGCATTGATTCAGATTATTAACTACTGTTAGAAATGAAAAGTAATATTTGGAATGGCCATGCTTCAAGGAACTTGAAGAAATAAGATTTTTTGGAGAAGTTAATTTTTCGATTCTTCAGTTGAAATCCGACACAAATCTATGTCTTAGAGCTTTAATACCCAGAAGCTTTAAAGCATGCTTATATGATAAATCATTTGAACCAGAAACTTCGCTATTGCGTGACCTGGAAAATGACGTCAAATAGCATCTTATTGCAGCCAGTAAAGAATAGCTGTCTCAATAATAAGCCAATGTTTCCGAAGCAGTTAAATCGAACAATACATAAATAATGGCCTGTTACTTCTCTTATTGTATAACAATTGACATCTCTAAATACTTTTAATTATTCACATTAAATTCGATTAAGGTATTTGAAATATGTAAGACGACGCCGAACCAATCAACCTCAGGTTCACCTCATAGAATTTCAAAAATGTTGTAATGCTTCTGTAAAGTCTATGATTTTCACAAATGCATTTATTTAATATAAAATGTTTGCTCAATGTAATGATCTTATAATGTTTGTTTAATCGTACGAATGCTTCTTTATATTTTAATGAAAGTAAATTAAAATCAAACTTTCGTAAAGCTGATACCTACAAAAACATTTTTAGAATTAGAACCGACTGGCCAATTCCGGCCAATTTCCAATTAAATAAAACCAGCTCTAAATAACTAAGAGTTTGCCCTTTTATTCATGAGCCAATAACAAAACGTTCAATCTTTCCTACAGCTTTTGCGTGCAATTTCAGAATGATATTGTACTAAAATTCTAAATGTCTGTAACATTTTGTTGCCCAAAGATGTGCGTAAAAATTAGGAAACCCAAAATAAAATCAATTGAGAATGTCAACTTAAAAATCTTAGGCAAAAGTTAGGAATTAAGTTTCTACCTTAACAATATATCTTACATTTATTTTAAATCACTAGAACAAATTCGATTTGGCAGGAGAATTTTGCCTTAAAATTACATACAAAACGTAAAATTTACGCGTTAAGTTGCCCAAGAAATGCGGACAAAGTTCACGCCGACATTGCAAGTTGCCGAAACGACCGCAAAAATTTTCCATCATCATCAACATATTATTCTTGAAATATGTTTAGGTTTGTTAAATTCTTGTTGATTTATTAATTATCTCAAATTCTGCGTCCTTAGAAATTGGACACAAACACATAACAAATTGGAAGCGCCACATATTTACAAACGAAATTTTTCACAACCATTAATTGAGTATATTAACCACAATTCAAAAACGTATTGATATCTCTAAAATACAATCGTTGAAATTCAAATCTTATAAACCTCAATTTGCAAGTTTCGATGTTTCACAACAATTTCAATTTTTTCTGAATAGGTATACAAACCCACTTCGTATCAGCACCAAGATCCCCATACTGACAAAATCTCCTTATCTTAAGCACAGATTTGTTTACAAATTACTTACATTTTTATTAATTCGAGTGAAGGGAATTGCACTATTAATCGCCTTGGGCCCGACAGAGGAGTCATTTATCACTTCTTGTAACCGTTTTTTTATTATCCCAGTTTTTTGAACAATTAATTGTCATTCGAATTAGGCAAATTGCGTTAGGGATATTCGAAGCAGGCACAAATAACTATTTTAACTTTCAGGCAAAGTAACAGAATATATTATGTAAATTTTAATATTATATGACGTAAAGTTTGTTTCAGGTGTGCGCACTTCTTCAACTAGATATATTTCCCAAGACACGATGTGGAAATGTAAAATTTACGTAAAAAAGAACGGAGCAAAGGGATGATTTTTTCGAATGAAGAAGGTTGGCGATACTTTTGGCAATAGTTATGAGTTAAGGTTTCGCAACTTTTGAGTGGGTAGTTCAGTTTTTCATGTTCCATATCAAAAGCAGAAACGGTGCATTTACGGGATACCTTTAAAACATTTTTTTATATTTGAAGATCCTGTACCCATTTTATTTCCACAGCCCAATCAGAACTTCGTTTGGCATTAAACGAAATAAAGATATTTCTAATGGATGATAATCAACCGGGAAATATCTGAAATGTTTTCTTCAACGAAGCACTGTGAATTTGTAAACATCAATAAAACAATTAAAAAGGAAACAATCAAAATGGTTTACTCCATACTTGGCTTTCTTGTCCGGCTTCATTAATAACTCATCAAATCAAATACGTATTAAATTTTGCGTTGGCTCAGCAAGAACTAAGAACTGGAAACGTTTTGTCTTCGCCACCATAAATAAACCTATAAATACCCCAAGGTTTCCCCATTACAACCTATAAACTGTCTTTCATAACAGCAAAGCTACTAATAGTGCAGACTTATTTTAGAACACCCTGTATATATTTCTGCTGAAAATGGTTGCTGATATATACTTAAAAATAAATTTTCAAAATCAAAAACTACTCGAGAAGATATTCATAAAATATAAATAATTTGGTAACAAACTTTCGTCGTTTTGACTCTCTTTAACGGCATTTTGTAGACTTATGCTGGCGCTGGCAAAAAGCTTGATTTAAGTGTGGGAAATTACCGTTGAATGTACAATACGTGTCTTACCTGCTGGACAAATGCATTCAGGACCATCCTTTTGTAACGTTGGATTGCCTGTAGATGCCAAATCCCTCACCACTCTGTTCCGAAATATGTTCACAGTGTCTCTTTTTATGCCATTACTGGCAATATCCACGGTTTCCGCGTACTTTTCTTCCAAGAAGACAATCCTCTCTTCCAGACCTTTTATTTTCGTTTGAAAACGGTATACATCCAAACTGGTCAGCCCATTGGCAATCGAACTCACTACACAAAAGAGACACACCAATAAGGCCAGTACGGTAAAAGACGAAGATTTACTCTTCTCGACAAGTTTGGCCCGCTCGGGCTCAGTGAGGGGATCCGAATCCATTTTATTCCTACTTTGGAAAGTATTTAACAATGCTGCTTGTTAGTACATTATTTAGAATTGCACACGTGGAATAATTCGTTTTCATCCCCCTTTGTACATGTTTACCAACAGTATTTGCTGCATAAATTCCCGAAAAGCGGACGGACGAATCTCCGTTGTTTCAGGCGACAGCTCTGAATAAAAGCTCCCGAAAGCACGCGAGTTCGATGCGAACAACACTGAAACACGCAAACCACGACAGAACTCACTTCACGAGCGCAGCTTAACTGAACACAACGATGCTCGATGCTCCAACTTTTTGGTAGAGATCCGCAGATGAGCTTTAAGTTGCACGGAAAGAGACGATCAAGCGTCGGGATAGAGCGTATAGAACCAAAACAGGGAAAACTATCGGTTGGAGCTTTTGAATTGTTTCACAATTCTTTGCCAAGAAGGACCCTAATTTATTTGGGGTGAAAAGCACACAAAGCCCCTTTATACATCAAGGAAATCGCAAAAAAACACTTTCAAAATTACTTCATTTAAACCTGAATTTATTTAACTAAGATCTTTTATGTGTTCGTATCTATCTCGAATAGCATTCGAGAAAATCTTTTGTGAAATAAGTTTTTGCATGATTTTTCTAATAAACTTATATTCACGGAAATAGGTACCAAAAATGCTAATTGAAACGCAAGTAAAATAAGCATTAAATGTATTGAAAATTCTAAATAAAAGTTGAAAATTTTAAAATAAATTGAATTTGTTACCTATTTCTTCTTAATACTATGTCTATGCGAAGCAAAGCAAGCTGAACGTTTTGCAGAAACTTTATAAAATTGCTGTAGGTATACAAGAATTGTGTAATTTTTAAGAAGACGAAGAAAGCTGGTAAACAGGATTAGATTTTTTAAGTATTCTCGTGGAAGACTGAAAAGTTAATTTTTTGTCGATTTGGTAAGTTGCAGAGTCGAACGGCATCTAAAATATAATAAGAATTACATGTTCGGGATTTAATAAATGACGTTGATGAGGGACAATTATCATTAATCACATACAAATTTTGAAATATATGTAACTAAAATGTTAAGGAATCAATCAAAATGTTAAGAAAATATGATAGACACTATATTAGTAACAAGAAGCTTAGAAAAATACAGACAAACTGGTCCAGAAAAATAGTTCCCAGAAGGAAACGAGTGAAGAAGTTTGTTGATGAAGAAACTAATCAAAACTATTTATCTCTCGCATTCTCACAATGTCACTCGATAGTCTAAAGAAAAACAAATTTTTATCAAAAAAGTATCATAAAACAACAAAAGCGATTTTGTAGAAAACTAATCCGTTTACAAATTTATAATAACGGTTACCATAATTTTTAAGGAGAATGTACTTTTGTAGTTAAAACATACGTACAGCATGCATTTTCAGAATATATTGGTTTGTAAAACATTTAATACGAAGGCAAAACAAAGAATGAAGCAAATTAAAAGTAAAACATTGGCAAAAAGTCAATTGTAAATGTCAATATAGTTTTTCATAAATTATTTTAAGACTGAAAATAATAAATTTAAAAATCTTATGAAAAACTTAACTAACAAGCAGTAAACAATTACGATTCATTTTCTTTTCGAAATTAAAATCTGGAAACCATTTATTTAACTGATTGTAGCCTAATTAAATAAAAATTTTAAAAATGAAAGAAAATCGGTTTAAAGTAAGTGCTATTTTATGTATTAAATCCAAAGGTTTTCAAAAAATCGTAAACTTTTTGTCTCATTATACATTGGATTATATTGGAAATTAACAAATGTGAAATGCGAAAGATAATAGTAATTTAACCAAAGCACAGATGCATGCTGCATTTACTGATTATACTCCATGAAATAAATTAAAGTATATAATGAACATTCAATGTGCATTAGAAGTTTTCCAACATTCAGTTGATTTGGAAACTTCTAATTTTGTTTCAGGTTATAACGAGTCGGGCCCCGAAACGATGTAAAATACACTTAGCCCTCTAGATATACAGGGTGTACCAAAACTATCACCTAACTTTCTTATTTTAAATGCAAACCCCTAATTTATTTGGTTGGCTGGATTGGATTGGCTGTCCAATTGCCAGTTTGAGCCACCCTGGTTTTGTTAACCGTTTTTGATATATGTTTAATAAAAAAATGTTATTACATATGTTTACGAATAAGCCATATATAACGAACGGTTCTAAATTCTAAAACCAAATTTGGTAGGTAGTTAGCTGAAAGCCTAAGCTAACTCCTCAGGTACCAATTAAAAAAACTGACTTTTTTGAAAAAGCGGACAATAAAGTCAAAGTTTAGATACCTATTATGGATAAGCTGCTGACGGAAGGGATACCAAATTTACGGGTGTTATAGATTTTCAAGTTAAAATACAACAAAAGTCGCTAAACAATAAGAAATACCACACGTTAAAAAAATCGATTTCGAAATTTAGTTGAAAATATAGTATGAAATTAAAAAGGTCCAACTTTGAAAGAAAAAACTGAATAAAAACTTCCAAGACAATAGGAAGTATAATATACACAAAAACGACACTGGTTTTACATGTTGCTGTTACGTTCGTATTAGATAAAACAAGAAATTGAAGTAACGTAATACAGAATACAGATAATTTCTCGCCGTTTATATTCGAGTAGCATACATATTACATGCGATAATAAATATAATAAAATACAAGTCAACAATATCTGAAAGTGATCTTCCAGGAAAAATGTAAAACAAACTTACCGAAAGCTGCATAGTGTCACCTGGAAAGAAAAAAAAAGGTGTTTAGTGTGCAGGAAATTATTTAAGCTCCATTCAAATTGGAATGTAAAAAAGCCGTGAAATAAGTGTTTTTAAAAATTCCTGCATTTTTCCGGACACCCTGTATATTAGAGATTTATCTTACTAGGTTTCTATATGCTGGGGCTCCATCCCGAACCTTTTCGGAATCTGCTGTGATTCACATCAACACACTCTTACTTTTAAGCACCAAAATGCCAATATTTCGATATACGATATATTCCCGATTAAATATGACTACGAATGTCATAGAGAAGTAAGGAAGAAGTAAGTTTTTCAAACAAAAATCCTTCGAAGATAAACAGGGAAAGGTAAACAACTCAGATCAGGCGCACAATAGGCATTTTATGCTCAATGAAAACCGGATTTTTCCGGAAGGTGGTAAATTTTTTAACAATTCTGAACCTTTTTTTTCACTCATGAGTGAATGGTCGGTTTTAAGGGAGAGTGTTGTACTTTAAGACGTTTTTTAATTTATTTTTCAGGCCGCGTTTTAAATACATTATGTTAACTAAAGCCATTATGTTATCTTCACTATTTAGAACGATATTTCAAAAAATATAACTTTTTCAGATCTTTTACTATCAATAGCCGGGGAGTGAAACAATTTTCCTTAATAAAAGTTTGGCCAGACCGTCTTCTTTTGAACCAGAGAATGTCTCAGTATAGAGGGTAATTTATGTAGAGCGTGCATTAGAAGTTTTCCAACTTGTTTTATAAACTTGACGTTTTGATTCCGGTCATAAGGAGTCGTGCCGAGGCCATGTAAAATACATTTAGCCCTCCAGCTGTACAGGGTGTTTGAAAAGTATAATATAACTTTCTTATTTTAAATACAGGGAGATTCAAAATTGGCATCATTCCTCTGGAGGTGTTGTTTGGCGCTGTTATAGGAGTACAGAAAAAATAGTAAAATAAATTAATTGTTATTAAAAACTGAGAAATTAGCAAAAAACTATATCAGAAATACGGCAGCAATGTTTTTCAAGGTAATCTGCCTAATTAACATTGCGCAAATACCTGTTGCTTCGTAATTATTTAAAACTCCGGTAACCGTGGAATTATGCAGACTGACAATAAGATAGACAAGGATAAACGGTAAATTCAACGAGATTTGTTGATGAAAGGTTAACCTGTTCTCATAACCTCAAATATCGGTGTTTAAAAATAAACCATACAACACCAAACATTTGAATGGTTAACTCCAAACAAGCTAGTGCCTGTTTAATCTCCTTATTATCCACTCTTATCAAGCAGCTTCTCGTATTCAGTTAATTAACTCCACCACTATCATCCTGGAACCACTCTCCTCGCCCTTTGTTGGTGTGAGTTCTTCCAGCTTTTGCTATGTCCCCTGAACTAATCGCATATTCGCAAATTCGTGAAAGGAAATTCTAAGTAAGTCACAGTTTGACAAATTATTGCTATTATTGACAAGGGCTATCCACCTGTAACTATCTGTTAATGACAAAAAACATCATTGCCGCTGTGCCTTTTCATGAAAAAATTGTAGAAGAGAACTTTTTTGGTATCAAAAATTTTCGTAATTTGAAGCAAAGATCGTAATTTTTCTTTTTGAATGCTTAAGTATTCCAATA